CACACACACACACACACACACACACACACACACACACACACACACACACCCTGCTGACCCTGCATCCTTCCAAATGCTCCATCTCTCACCAGACTTCAGCCCCACCTCCTGGGTGGCTTCTGTAGCCAGTCTCCTCGAGCAATGTAAGAGCTCCCTTTAAAAGCTCAGAGCTGGCTCTGTGTATCTCATGCCATGGATTAAACCACCCAAAACTCAGCTCCAAGGCAAAGGAGGATATTCACCTGGTTCTCAGATTTGTAACTGGAGCAGGACACAACAGGGTAGGTATTAGTTGGTTCTGGGCACACAGCATTGCACTCAGGTGACCTGAGATGGGGGAGGTCTCAGTTTCTTGTCACATGAGCACCAGAGTGATCTCACCCAGGTGGGCTGGTGTGGGCTCTCAAAAAACCTGAGATCCCAGTTTTTGGGGGTACAGACAGGAGGACAGTACAGGCAGGTGACCTGCCCTTTCTCCCCCAGTCACACACAGAACCATTTCTGTCACCAGAGTAGGACCCTCTAGACGCAGCCCCTGACGGAGTGCCAGGCTTGCATTGAGGGGGCATAAGGAATGAGGACCGTTGCCTGTGGTGGGAATCGTGAACCACCATCCCTGGGTACATCCATATCCTGCTGAAGCCTCTTCTGGAGCCCTCCCTGCCTTGGAAGCTTCAGATATGGCCGCCACACCCTTGGCAGCCTAGCCTTCCCACCTGCCCCTTGTAGCTCTCCATATCCAGCCCGAGGAGTGAGTTTTTGTTTAAGTCGACCCTGCAGCCTCACGGAGCTTCCAGTGTTCCCTGTGGGAGCATTGTTCTCATTTTTCCTTCACACACTGCCTCGGTAAGATTGAGGGGCCTCCACATAGGTCCCCGTGATAACCTGGCCCACTCCCCTACTTTCTTAGTGGATGCTTTCTCCCCAACCTCCGAATTTGCTCACTCTTCCCGCTGCCAGGGTCTTGCTGCCCACCCCACCCTCCCACCAGCAGCTTTGCTGACAGACCCCAGGATCTGCTACTTCCAGACCTCTCTACAGGAGGCAGAGCTGTACTCCTCTTCACTGCTTGTTCACTTAAGATTTGGGGCATCTTTTTTCTTTTCATCAATAATTTATTTATTCACTTTTCCTCCTGATCCCAGCCCCCCTCCCTCCTCTCCTCCCAGTCCCACCCTTGCAAGCCCCTCTCCCATTAACCCCTCCCCTTCTCAAAGAAGGGAAATCCCCCCCCCACCCATGGGTACCAATCCATGGCTGGCACATCAAGTCTCAGCAGGACTAAGCGCATCCTCTCCCACTGAGGCTCAGCTATTAAAAATAAAGATGTGGTGAAATTTTCAGGCAAATGGATGGAACTAGAAAATATCATCCTTAGTGAGGTGACCCAGATCCAGAAAGACAAGTATGGTCTGTACTCTTAAGTGGATATTAGCCATAAAGTACAGAATAACCATGCTGCAGTCCACAGACCCTAACAGCTACGTAACAAGGAGGGTTCAAGGGAGAATGTTTGAATCTCACTCAGAGGAGATGGAGGGAGGGAACTTGACCTTGGGTATCTTAATGTGTAGTATGGAGGAATTCCTGAGGAGAGCCAAGTGCCAAATCCCCTGCCTGGCTTAGGTAGAGGACCATGGGTGTTTCCTTTCCTCCTTTCTGGAGGATCCTCAGTGCCCCTGAGTGAATTTCCTTATCTTCATTTGGCTGAAAGAAGAATGCACCTCCCTGTTCAATCACGTGGGACTGCCCGCCAGGGAGGTGGCCGGTGTTGTTGCTGAGCCCTGGGCTGAGAGTAAAGAGAGCTCGGTGGTGGTTCGCCTGCTTGTTTCTAATAAAGTCCTGCCCCGCTGTGCTGCAGTGTATCCTGAGCCTTGTCAGCAGTGCGGCAGGGTGACCTTGAGGATGGAGCCGGGTGGGAGGCTGGCTCTCTGAAGGCTGAGGTTCACCAGCATTTCTTGCCCCTCCTCCCACTGCCTGTCCTGGTGCATGCTGACCACGGCCACCCCTCTCAGCACCCTGCCCCGACCCTTGCCATGACTATTTCCAGATTCCAGCACCTTCTACCCAGGGCTGTTGTAGAGAGCAAAAAAGGGTCAGGGAAGGACCTTTGCCTTTCATGGTGGGGTGAAGTTGGCCGAGAATTCCCCACGCATGCGCACAGGGCTCTTTCCTCCAATGCTGTGGCGGAGGCCAGTGTGAGTGAACAGAGGGAATGCCTCATCTTACCGTGTGCTTAGGCCTCCTGGAGATTCCCGAAGACAGCCGTGGAGGATGCCTTTTCCTGCAGTTCCTGATGTCTGCTAGCATTTTCAGGCTTTGTGTCCAGAGCAGGGCAGTCCAGTCCCCCGCAGACTGTTGAGCCCAGAGACCTCGGAAGCCAGGCTCAGGGCAGAGACTTTGCAGTTCCAAACTTGGTCAACGTGGGGCTGTAGAGAAACAAACTGATCAGAAATACAGAGCAGGGATAAGAGCTCTGGGGAGCATGAGAACCAGGGAAGGATGAGGCAAGCTGAGATGTGAGGAACTGTCTCCAAGTACAGAAGCTGGAAAATGTTGGGGGAGGGGGTCCCCAAGACATCTACACTTCTGATCAGCTATTTCTAAATCCAGAGGTTCCCTGGTGCCCCTTAGGTTCAAGAACGGAAACTCAGAAAACGCCTTAAGATTGCAGTGGTGATCATATTTTTAATAAATTCTTTATTGACCAAAAAAAACAAAAAACAAAAAAGATTGCAGTGGTGGCAGTGAGGGACAGTGGAGTGATAGCTCACTTAGTTGGTCGCTTGCCGTGCAGTCTGGGTGTGGCGATGCCACACACGTGTGATCACAGTTCTGGACGGGGAGGGTGGGCAGAGTCAGGCAGATGCCTGGAGCTAGCCAGCCTCACCAGTCAGTGAGCTCCCAATGCAGTATGGCTGCCCTCTCTCACAGAATCACAGCCTGTCCACCCACAAGACATATCTGTGTGTTCACAACCCAGGGAGCTCTGCAGGGCCTGGCTGGCTGGAATTCTTACCGGGGACTCCACACCAGACAGAGCTGGTTGAGTGCTGTCGGTGCAATGCCACTCAGTCTCCAGCCTGCCTGCCTTCCCTGGAGGTTGGACCGACTCTGGGCCCCCGCCCTCTGGTCTTAGGGCTGACAGCCCCATCCTGAGGCCACCTAGGGAACCACCACCTCATTAATATAGGCTCAGGTAGAGTGACTAGGGCTTAGGAAAAACAGAGATACTCATGTTTTGTCCCCGCCCCCAATTCCACTCCAAGCATGTTGTGTCCCCGACCCAAGACAAGGCGTCAGTTTCTTCATTAGACATCCGTAGTGTTGGTTGTTTTGTTTCTCTCCTGTCGTCGTCGTATGTCATTCTGGATATTACCTCTGCTATCTTAAGTGACCTGACACCTCTTCTCTTTAGCATTTTCTGCGAACCGTTCATCTTATGACCTTCTCACTAATTAACATTCTCTGACATCTTCGTTATGTTACAATGAGGAACTGAGGTCCAGAGGAGTGGTGACCACCTCAAGGTGACACAGCTAATAAGTGCCCCAGTAGGATTTCATCTCTGCTGGGTCAGATGTGGGGTCTTTTGGCTGCAGCTCAAACCTAGTCTGTCAGAGGCTTCTGGTCAGGTGACTGCCTGTCTTTGGCCGCTGTTGGCTGTCAGGAATGATTACACTTGTCTGTTAAATGCTGTGCACCGTAGATTTAGGCCCAGCAAAGAGCCTATTCATGGAGCCCATTGGGTTGACCTGCCCTGCCCAGACAGTGACTAGCCATTCCACTAGTCCCAGCCTGGGGATGGCCTGCTAGACAGTGGACAGGGCAGAAAGGCCTTAGGGACCTTTGTGTTCCCTGTCAGGAGTACTTATCTTCTGCAGCTCCCTTCACCATCTCTCTGGACTGTGGCTGAGTCCTGGTAGGGCAGAGGAGAGAAGAGTTCCATGTAATGACCTAACAAATGTCCCTTCTTCCTCTCCCAGATGGCTGGAAGTACAGCAGTTGGCATTCTTGTCACCACCATGTCCCAGAGGACCCACACAGGGTTGTGTCAGAAGCCAACCCCTGCAATTTGGGAAATTAGCAGCATTTATGGGTCTCCCAAGAGACTCTTGGCTTCTCAGCCATACTAGCACTAGCAGTTTTCCGTTGGGGACATTTCTGTCCCATTTAAGGAGTTTACAGATGTGTGGGTTAGCCTGCAGTTGTCACAGTATTTGTCACAGTATTTGGGGCTCCTCTTGTCAATTACACAATGGGATCTAAAGGTGCTAACGGGCCAGTATTGAGCTGGACCTTCAGTCAGGCACACTCTGTGGGGACGAGACTTGCCCTTGAGACCTGAAAAAAGTCTGCCTTCCCCCGCCCCTTTCTCACCAATGTTTAAGTTGAATAAATGGGAACCAAAGAGAGTCTCCCTTGAGCCGATGAGTGGTCAGACGGTCTGTTCAAGGGCTCACAGGAAGCGGTGAGAAGAGCATTCTGTTGTTATCTCATGTCAGCTGGTACCTGGGGTCAGGACAGACTGGATTTGGGTGGTAGGAACTGGAGAAAGGGTAACTTCTCTGTGACAGCCTGGCGTATGACAAGTGTGTTCCCCTAGAGCTCTCTTGAGCACCTTGACTTGGGGTCTTTTTCTTGGGGTATGCTTTTCCCCTTTCTTTTTATTTTTTTTATTTTTATTTTTTTATTTTTTCCCAAGACAGGGTTTCTCTGTATAGTCCTGGCTGTCCTGGAACTCACTCTGTAGACCAGGCTGGCCTCCAACTCAGAAATCCGCCTGCCTCTGCCTCCCAAGTGCTGGGATTAAAGGCGTGCGCCACCACCGCCCGGCGCTTCTCCCCTTTCTGTGGTGCTTATAAGCCAGCCTTTCAAGTGCTCGTATTTAGAAGAGCTTGGCCATAGACTCGCCTTACAGCTGAATCTCTCTCTCCTTTCTGCCTTGCAGTCGGGAAGACGTCTCTCATCACGAGATTCATGTATGACAGCTTCGACAACACCTACCAGGTGAGATCCCCACTTGCCACGCTCCCCTCTCCAGCTCCCCTGTCTCTGTCTCTGCCTGTGGACCTGTCTGGAGCCCACTGCCAGCCTGCCTCCACGGATCACTGCGCTCAGAGTGGGGCCGGTCCAGATTTCTAAGGCATCTTATTCCTTTGAAGGAATACCATCCTAAGTACTAGGCCTATGCAAGAAATGAGCTTAGAATCTAGATGCTGAAAAGGAAACCTTTTTGTTTGGGGGGGGGGGACAAATATCAAAACCCGAGAGGGGACCTTTTAGAAAGGCAGGTTGGAAACATTACAACATTTGATTATTTTGTAGGGCAGGCAGAAGAGGACAAGATGAAACCCAGGAGCAGTTAGAGAGGGTGACCTCAGGAGTGGTCACACTGGCTGGGCTTTACATACACATACCCCAGACCACACGTGGACTCTCACACGCCTGTGCATGTACATGCTCACATTCCTGGACTTCACACACACTCAGCCCCCATCCCATCCCAATTGCTGAAGGTCACCCTGCCACAGAGAGGTGTGGGAGGTTAGTTGACCCTGCCCTGTGTGGGCGTCAAGACCTTTGGGGATCCTGGTTTGGGAATGGTGGCCTGGGCTCAGCCACAGACCCATAGGTGACCCCAAACCGAATTCATGAGGGGCAGAGAGAGACAAATCTGTTTGGTATCAGTGGTGGTGGAGGGGGCGGTATCCAAGTGAATTTCTTCACAGCTAAAGCATTTTGCCAAAGTTGTTGTCCCAGCCCCCACCTTTGACTATAGACAGTTCTCCGTTCACTTCTCCAGGCTGTGGGTCCTGTGGGATACTAGCTCCCAGACATGTTAGTAGCTAGTACTTGGGAAAGGGGGCGTGTGGTTTCAAGCAGAGCTGGGTTGTTTAGACAGGCGAACTGCTCTCACTCAGCACTGCTTGTCCATTGCTTGTCGGGGCTCTTCCCTCAGCCCAGGGCTTCAGTCTGCTGAAAGCAGATGCAGCAGCGACTGTTTGAATGTAGAATCCCTTTGTCAACACATTCTCAAGGACAAGTATTTATAGATTCACTGGGGCAGCTGTTCCAAGATGCCGCTCCCTGCCGCTGGGTGTGGAGCCGCTTTACCGTGCTCTCGTTTCCCTGTTTGCTTGTCCATCCTTCTGTCAGTGCCCTGGTGCAGTCATCCTTGTCTAAGATGCCCTCCGAGGGCCCCCTTACTGTTTCCCTCAAGTTCCTGTTCCATTCTGCAATGGGTGGACTGGATTCCTATATCACGTGGACTCCAGAAGGATTGCCTATGGGGAAGGGCAGGAGACTCTGGGTTCGTCAGAGTGGTGTATGTGGTACCATACAGGCCTTTGGGACATTGATGCTGGTCGTACTGTTGTGTCCTCCCCCAAGCCAGGACTTTGCATCACTTTGATCTGACTGTGGAGCAGAGGTGACATCCCTAACAGACTCCCTCCTAAAGTCTCCCATTGTGCTCTGTGCGCACACACACATGAATGTGTGTGTGCGCCTGACCACACGCTCGTGTTTTTATTAGTTGACTTTTCCCTTTCCCTTTTCCACACAGACTCATGTGGCTCCAGCTGGCCTTGAATCTTTGGGGGGTAGCTAAGAATGACCTTTATCTCTGGGTCTTTCTGCCTGCACCACACCTGGCTCCTGCTTGATTTCTTTAGTGACCTTCCTGTTTTACAATGGCACAACATTGAGACTCTTAGCAGCAGTGGACAAATTACCTTTGAAATTTTACCTCCCTTCCGCCCCACTGTCACCCTCGTCACCTGACACTTGTCACTCAAGTCAGGCTTTACCTGCTGCTGTCTGTGTGGTGGCACTGGCATAGCCTGAGCCTCAGCTCCTGTCATTGTCCTGGCTCTGCTCTCTCTGCTCTGAAAATTCTTCCAGTGCCTGAAGCTTGGGCAAGCGTTTGCCCCGAGTGCAGAGGCTCTGCCACTTGTACCAGCTCCCGATGACTTTGGCTGTAGCATGTGGTCCTGAAGGCTAGATGGGCCCCTCAAGTCTAGGGCTACTCCTCTGCCCTCCTGGTCCTCACATGTGTTTTGGGATGTACCAAGTCCAGGGTCTTCTTGGAGCCATCACCACACGAGGCCTGGCCAGAGATGGTGTCATAGGTGCCTACAGGCACAGTAATGTCTGCTTGCCTCAGTTGACTGGTGCCATCAGACTGCGCACCTCCCAGGTCCACTGTCACAGTGGGTCAATGGAGATCACAGAACAGACACTGCTGTCCCCTCATGTGTGGTAGAATTGCCTGACTTGGTTTCTTTACAGCCTCAGGTGGAAATCCTTTCCTTAAGCCCTTTAGAGCAGTAATTAGGCTGAGAGGCTGGGCCCACTTTCTCTCTCTCTCTCTCTCTCTCTCTCTCTCTCTCTCTTTCTCTCTCTCACACACACACACAAAGATATATACACATACACACATAGACACACACAAGCACACACATGTACACAAAGACACACTCACAAAGACATACACATGCACACATACACAAAGACACACACAAAAACATACACACACAAAGACACACAAAAACATACACAGACACACAAACATACACACACACACACAAAGACATACACACAGACATACACACACACACACACATATACACAAATACACACACAGAGAGAGAGACACGTGGTTGCTTGACTTAATCCTCTGGAGATGGAGGAGAACAGACTTTGTTTTCTTTTTCTGAGCATAGCAGCAGAGATGTATGGGAAGTAGGTAAAGTCCCCAGGGACCCTAGGAGATGAAATGTATTTCCTCTCAGGCTGTCCTACTGCATAGTGACAGTGGCCATGCCTGTCACCCTCCCACCAATATCCTGTCTGTTCCAGCAGCAGAACATCATGACAGAATGTAGACCTGCTCAGTCAGCTCCCAGAACTGCGTTCCCTCTCTCTCCTCGTGTCTCCAGGCCCCGTCCTCTCCTCCCATTCACTCATTCTGACAAAAGACAGCTGTATGCTGTAGGAGATGGCCTACCAAAAAGGAGCAGATGAAAGGCGCCTGGCTGAAGAGCCTGGCCTGCCCTCAGTGGACAGAGAGGGCAGGGCCCATCCTCAGTCACAGTCGGTTCCACCTTGGTGTAGAGCAAGAGGCCCCAAGGGGCCACCATGAGGCCCTGAGTATGGTAGGCTAGAAGTCCTCACCTGAACCTCTCAGTTTCTATTTGTGGACCCTGGTGAGCTGCCACTTTTACAGCCCTTTGAGGAGCACGTCTTCTTCCTCTACTTACCTGGCAGTTACACACACACACACACACACACACCATATTCTCCGCTAACACGTGTACTCTGCAGTGTCTCGCCACCCTGCCTAATCACACCATACAAACTGATTCACTTACACAGTTTTCACTTGGTGGAAAACCAAGTCTCAATCAGAGGGAATTATGTCTGTGATGATTCCTTCACGTAAAACCCCAACTAAGAGGTAATATGTTTTGTAATGTGGTAGCATGATGCGGCGGAAGGGGGTGCCTTAGTGCACCCATGTTGAGGCACCCCCACCAAGGTACCAGCCATACAATGGGTCTAGTATAAAATGAAGTTTATTTGCATGAGAAGGGGTTGTGGAGAGGGGATGGAGGCAGAGAAAGGGGACAGAGGACCGAAAGATAGGAGAAAGAAGGGGAGAGGCGAGAGAGAGGGGGGGCACAGTCTTTTTATAGCAAGCCAGGCTCATACCTGGCAGTTGCTAGGTAACTGTTGGGTGGAGCCTGGAGGAAATGCAAACAAGAGGTTACCTTCAAATTCTATGGGGGGGGGGGAGAATCTGGACATACCTTGTTGTAATAAGAGGTGGCTCTTGGTGTGCCCTCCCCCACCCATACCAACACACACCCAGGAAACTCTGTGGCCCTGGGAGGGTCAGCTGTGTGAAGGAACCCTGATAATAGGAGGCATGGTCCTCTGAGGTCCCTCCTGGCTGAGGTTGGAAAATCAATGCCTAGTGGGGGCTCTCCCAGGCTCTCTTTTCCTGTCTGCAAAGCTGGCTGCTCAGGCCTTAGCATCTTGCAAAACTGATAAGTGATGAGAACTTAATGCTGGGAGCCCATGGCCCCTCCTGTCATTCACACCAGGATACAAGTTAGAACACCACAGTTCTAATGGGCTGCCTCGGGGAGAGGCCCACGTGCTGAAGGGCTGCTCTCAGAGGACACTTGTGAGGTGGAAAAGTATTTCAGACTCTGAAGGGGGTTCCTAGGAAGGTCTTTCTGGCAGGCTCAGATCTCCTGAGGTCTCTTGCCTACAGCTGATCCTCACGCCAAGGCATCTGTTCTGCCCTAGGGCTTCCCACACTCATTCTTGGGGCTGCCATCACAAATTACCACAAGCTGAGTAGTTTCAAACAATAGGAGTGTAGTCTAACCTCACCTTCCTGGGGGCCTGAGGGTGAAACAAATACAAGAGAGACCTGCTCTTTTTGGAGGTTCTGAGGGGTTGGTGGGCATTCTCCTTGCCATTGACAGCTTCTAGTGGCCTCAGGTGCTCTTTGTTATAGGGCTTCAAGATTTCCGTCTGGCCTCTCTCTTCATGAGATCTGAGGAGATGTGGTGGATGGATAGGTATGGATTCTCCTCTGGTCTCTGGAAGTGGACACAGCATGCATCTGTACGCAGGGAGAAGCTCTCTGTCACCTCACATGGTACCCAAAGCCTTGGTTTTTATTTCTGTTTCCTGTCTTTTCCTCATTATGTCTTCTTGCTGTGACCACAGAGACTTTTCCCTGACACAGTGCAGTAACTGGCCTCTTACCTGACAAGCTATGCTTCCTCCTCAAGGTGAATACACATATGCGTATACACACATACACTCACATGCAGATACACACACATACACTCACACACGCACATGCACGCACATGCACATACGCATGCACCAGCACACACATATTAATGCAACACACACACACCATGCTGGATCCCTACACCTCAGCCTTGCATCCTACTTCTGCATGCCCTTTTCCTCTCTCCTCTGTG